TGTATACGCGAAGATGTCCGTAAATTCCCTTATTAAATTGATCAACTTCGACCTGATCGGCTCCCCCAAATCTTTTCCAATTCTGAATTTTCGGTCATCACATCCCTGCACCATTTGAATTTCTTCAATCTCCTCTCCAGGCTGTATATCTATCTTCTCCTTCCCCTTATCTTGTCCTCCCCTCTCCTCTTTCGATCGTGATCCTCCTGGTCGATCAGGCCTCACCTCTTTACCTTTCAACTGCCTCTCTGCCATCTGCTTGTTGTTACTGACTGTGGTCTTGTAGCAACTCCTGGACGTGAGTTGGTCCCCTGCAACCTCGCCTACATTTTCCCCCATAGGATACTTGATCGTCATGTGGTAGGTAGACACGACTGCTTGGAATGCATTTAAACCTGTCCGCCCTAGAATGATGTTGTAAGACGATTCCGCTCCGACCACCACAAACCGGATCATTCTCACTTTCCTCGAGTCACCCGACCCTAATGCTACGGTCAGGCTCACTTCTCCCATTGGCATTACCTCCCCACCATTGAACCCGTATAAGGCTGTCGCCACCGGTTTTAATTCCAGATTCAGGTGTTTGTTGATCTGCGCGAAACAATCGTAGAACATCACGTCGACCGAACTTCCCGTGTCGATGAACACTCTTTTTACATCGAATCCTGCCACTTCGGCCGTGATGACCAGTGCGTCATTGTGGGGTAACAAGATTCCTTCCGCATCTTCTGCTCGAAAACTTATCACCGGCATCCGACCAGTTATCCCGACTTCCTCTCTTTTACGCTTCACCGCCCGCACATGCCCCTTTCGTGCATTATTTGAATCCCCATCCGTTGGTCCTCCTGAGATCATGTAGATCGTGCCCCTCTTCACAGGCACCTCCTCCCTCAACTCCTCTCGATCATCGTTCTGTCGTCTCTTTCTTTCTCTCCTGGCATCGTCCTCTCCCTCATCGTCTCTATCACTCCTTGCTGCAGAATTTTCCCTGCATCTCCTCATTTCTTTACCTCGTGGTCGATCGCGAATGACAAATTCTTTCAAGTGCCCAGCCCGTATAAGACGCTCGATCTCGTCTTTCAAGTGTCTACAATCGTCTGTATTATGTCCGTAGTCCCTATGAAACTTGCAGTATTTATTCGACCTAGGTTTGGTCGGTCCCTCGAACCTGGTCGATAGCCAGGTGTCTTCCTTGCTTTCCAACTTCTCCTCTATGGCCGCTAAGACTTCGCCCATCTGGGCGTTGATAGGGGTAAAATGATTATATCTCTGACCGCTTGGTAGCCGAGGTCGTCCCTGCCAGCGATCTTCTCGCCTTTCTCGGAACGAGTTTTGCCCCCCCCTCCTGGGCGACGACCTCTTAAAAGATCCTCCTTTTGGAGAATTTTTCCTAGGCGATCCCCTTCTGGGCAAACTTGTTTTTCCCTTCCTCTGCTCGGGCTTCACAACGTCCTCGAGCTTGGCGAATTCTGCTTCCGTTTCTTCCAAGTTAATGTATTTCTTGCATCTCTTGAGCACCTCATCGTAAGTTCGAGCAGACGTCTTTGCCAACGACGTTCGACATGGTCCTGGCCTTAGACTTCTAATCAATCCTCCTGCTTTCACTTCATCACCCACCGTGGGCACCTCCAGACACACCTGATTATATCGAGCAACATATCTCCGTAAGGATTCTTTCTCGCCTTGCCTCATTGCCATCAGGGTGAGGTATGTTTTCTCCTGGGCGACCGCGCTTGAGTATTGATTAGTGAGTTGTCCTGCGAAGTCCTCAAAGTCTCTGATCGAACCTGGAGTCAGTTGGTGGAACCAGTCAAGCGCACCTCCTCGTAAAGTCGACAAGAAGGCCCTGCAGCTGACCGGATCTGAGTATCCATGTAAGACGGACATGTTTTCAAATGCTCTCACGTGCCTCGACGGGTCACTCGATCCATCGAAAATCAGGTTTATCTCCCGAAAGCTTGCAGGTAACGGCGCAGCTAGAATTTCCCTCGAGAATGGGTGTCCTCGAGCACGTCTTTCTGGCCTCCCTTCCACCTTCTCCTGCAATTGCCTCAGTTGTTCGGCCATCCTCTCCATAGCTCTATCCCTGTACTCTCCTCATCCGCCATAGCTCGACACATCCTCCTCTTGCGTTCCTTGCACCGTTGTCGGTGCAGTGGCAGCCTGGGATGTCTGGTGAGTAGCTTGTTGCACAGCCTGTGCCGCCGCGTCGGCCACCATCCTCTGCACCTCTTCTCTTGTCATGGCCACCACTTGTTGAGCAGGGGGTTGTGGTGCTCCTCCTATTGGCGGCACCATGGTTTGCGTTATCTGCCCTGCTTGCTGCGTCGCGACCGGGCCCGCTTGTAATGGGGCAGGGACCGCCGTGGGTACCGCTTCACGAGCCTCGTGTTCTCTGCTCGTACCTGCTCCTTCTCCCAAGATTGTTGTACCCTGGGGCATCGGCGTCGGGGTCACCGGTGTTTGCGAGGGTCCAGAGAATCCAGGTGGAGGTCCTGCTCCCATCGGTCTTGTCGTCGTCCACGCCTCGTCAAATGAAGACTGCAGATTCACTCGAGGAACTCCGTCCTCCATAGCTGAGCTCAGAACACAACTTTTCGAACGAAAGTCCCCACAGACGGCGCCAATAATACAAGTCTCGCACCCTGCCCGGCTGGAATTCGCCTTAAGCTTGCTCTCCTCGCCGGTTGGAGCGGAACCTGCACGAAACTCCCACACCGGAGGTGTTTTCCGGTGAAGAGCCTCCAACGCTCAAGTCAGATCTTGAGAGATAATATGAGTGTATAGAAAGATGTAAAGTATATCAGATTGTGTCGAAAATGAGGATTCTCACCCTTATTTATAAGGGCGAGTTACCTGTATTGCACGCGCGAGGCGAGTGCGTTCGTCTAACCGTCCTCTGCTTGTCCGTACGGTCGCGCGCCTCCACTATCCATGATGTCAGAGAACGCGTCGCCTTTGTCAGAGAATGTCAGAGTCGGTTACGGCTGTTGACCACTCACAATGCGCCGCGTGTCCTTCTCCTCATGTGCTGGAGATTCCTCCATGTGCTCCGATGCTCTACCAGTTATGTGCGTCTATGTCTCCTCGATCGCCCTTTCTCGACCCTGTGCTCAGCTGACTTGTATCTGTCGACCACCTCTGCTCTCCTTTACTGTCGTCATCTGCTCGATGTTCTAATGGCCGGTATCTGGTCCTGTTCGACTATACCATTCGACCTTATCCTTACTAGACCGTTCAACAAATCGGCCGGTCTCCTTTGATTAGCCCTATAAACCGGTCCAGTATATAATATCCCATATCATGCCTGAAGATAGTTTATTGTCAATTGTCCGTACAATTATTACAGATCGATACGACATTTTGGCTACTTGCTCCTATAACCCCTTGCTATTAATCATATATATATATATATGTGAGTGTATATATATGTGCTTTTAGGTGAATGAAAAACACACAATACGAAAGAAAATATTAAATACAAGAAAGAGAGAAGAAAAAGTCCGAGAGATAGAGAAAGAATTTGTGAGGGAAAAAAATAGAGAAAAACATATATAAAATTATATGTTACAAAATAGCAAAAGAGAGATAATTTTATTCAACTTTAAGTGATCATTCTCGACTCCGTTCTAGTTCGCCGGAGCTCGTAAATCTGGTGTGCTATAGATATCGAGACGATCGCCGTTGTATCTTTGGACGATACGCCTGAACCGTCAGCACTACACGGGGCGTATTCGTCTAGCGGAAATTACTCGCCTCGGCTAAAATCTTTTCGTTTTTCAAGTTGTAATTAATTTTCAGCTCTATCGTAATTTTTTATTTTTAGATTTTTTGTAAGAACTGAAAATTACATATCAGTTCATAGAATTCCCTTGTATTTTCAACACGTTATTTCTAACAATTATAACTATGAATTATTATTTTTCAAATATTTTAAATAAATGATACAATTGAATGAATTGATGGAATGATATATGATTGCATGACCAGCAAGGGATTGAAACTTGGAACTCATGTAATTGCAGAGGACCATACAGCTAATTTAAATAACTACTCCCGCGTATAGTACATTGTATATAAAGGGTAGTTTTTTTTATAGTACTCACGATCCTCATTCGTTAGGGTTTAAAGAGGGGTAAGAAGTAGAGAGAGAGAGAGAGAGAGAGAGAGAGAGAGAGAGAGAGAGAGAGAGAGAGAGAGAGAGAGAGAGTACGATTTCTGCTCAGCCGTGGTTCAATCAAAGCCTGAATCTTGTTTGAGCTATGGCTTTCTGGGGTGAGCACATATGCTCTTATCCTCAGTCACATTTTCCTCTGTTTATTTTCTTGTGTATTTGTGCGTTTTTACTGCGAATTAAGTTCTTTCGTCTGCCTATGGTTTCAACACTCTAATACTTATCAAGTAGGGTTTCCTTCTATGCTCGAATTTTTCAAGTAGGGTTTTCTTTTATGCTTGAATATGTGGCGTTGCCTATTTTACCGAACAAATTGTTTATTTATTATGCGTTTTTTTTTTTTCTTTTTCAATATTATTGTTTTCTGTGTTTCAGGTATTGAGGTGAAACCTTGGAAGCCTGCCGTTCATTCAACCGAAAAGGCTCGAGGAAGGCTCCGAATCTCTCAGGTACTAAATTCAGTTTATTAATTTATTTTTTCTGTTGATTTGGTTGGGATATGGTATTTTGTGTCAAACATCATGCTTTATATGCTGTGCTGCTGATATGGATATCATTATAGGCATCCAGTTTAGATTATTCCAATGGGTTTTGAAAGGGGGTCTTGTCCTTTGGTGGTGGATCTTTCTGTTGGCAAAACTTTTGTTGATTCTCAGAACTTGGGATATAATGGCTAGAAAATTTTATTTACTTCATATGGTCTTAGTTGTTTCTTCTTGAACGATATCTTTCTCAAATTTGATATGGACTTTTCATCACTGTAATGGGTTGTTAATTAATTTTTTAGGCCACTCTGGGTATCGGCGGTGCTAAGGAAAAGAGTATAGTCCAGTGCAATGTGGGTAAAAGAAGTCCAGTTCTACTCTGTGTTTTGCTTCCCAACCTAACCGAGTCTTGCCACCTGGATCTGGAATTTGAGGAGGCCGATGATGTTGTATTTTCTGTTGTTGGCCCCCGAAGTGTGTACCTCACTGGCTATTACGTCTCTAAAAGTCGACCGTCCAATCCCCACAGTGATACGTATCCTTTTCAGTTTTCCATGGCCTTGCTATTTTTTGCAGTATGGCCAATTACTCTATTTTTCTTTAAAATGTCAATGATTGCTATTTTCGAAAATAACCCAAGACATCTTATGGTATTTCTATTACAGTTTTGCGATTTTCTTGGCAGGAACCGTGTTGTTTTGTTAACTTTATATTTAGTTTACACGTGGGGAATTCTAGGATTCCTTTACTTTGACTCGATAGAGAATCATATGGGGTGGATATTGAAGATAGCCTCACAGAAAAATCGAGTTACGGTAGCGAAGATGACAAATATGAGGACAGTTTCATTGATGATGATGAGATGAAATTTCGTTCACCATCCCCTGTCTCAAGCAGCGAAGGTATAGTTCTATGGCTAGTTCTTTCTGTCATGATTTAATGTCTTGTCAAGGTTTATGAATTTGATTCATACATGAGTAATTGACAAAATGCCCTATACATGGAGCCTTATTTTGGTAAAGCCAACTCCTAAATTCTGAAATTTCCATAAATTTGTGAAAGGCATTCACTTTTTCCATATTTTTCCTAGTTTTTTATGCTTAATGTCTTTATTTTCTGAAAATTGTGTTAATTACAGAGATGCATGATGTGAAGAGCAGAAAGGGTCGTGGCAAGCGACTCAGGAAGAAAACTCAGGTTGTGGAGTCAGATGATGAGGCTAACACATGTGAAAGTGTAGATGATGATGACTGCCTTTTATCTATATTTAAGAGTAAAAAAGATGCAAAGAAAAATTCCACCGATGCTGGGTATATTGATCAGGCAACTGTCGAAAAGGCTGAAAATTTGGAAAACGGGGGTGTGAGTAGCAAAATATCAGAGAAAAATGTTGATTTTGAGGATGAACATGGAAAACCAGAAAGGTAATGAAGCCATAAATTGTCCTCAGCATAGACAACTTTCTTTTCTTTTCTTATTTTTTTTTCCGCTTCCCCATTTTCACTTTCGGCCCAGTTCCCTGCATGTGAAGAACCATGAATGTGTTGATATACTAGTCTTTATTTGCACATGTAGAAGCAGCTATATATCTATTTTTCGTTAACTGTTAGGTTATGTATGTATCTAACTTGCTATGAATTGTTTTCTACCTTAGAGGAAAAACTCGAAGGAAGAGAAAAGAACACCCGGGGGATGAGAAGGCCATTGAAGTTCAGTTTGAAGGCACAAATTTGTAAGGGTGTTATTTTCTTTGATCCTTAAATAGTAATCTGTTTATTGCTGCACCATTTTTCTCCTGCAGTGGTAGGATCAAGGTATAACTAAAATGCATATATAATCAGGGAAATTGGAGACTGTTTGTTGCCTCCTCCAGATTCGGTCTCTGAAGATTGTGAAAAATCTAAAAAGAGGAAAAAAGGACATCAGTTGAAGGGGACATTCTGTGACGAGCCTGACGTGAAATGTCATAATAAGCATGATAGGCCAGCAGAAAATGGCAATCAGGAGCAAAAAGTTGATAAGTCAGTATATAATTTAACTTTTTTCTTCTGTTTTATTTTGTGAGGCTTTTGTTAAATTCTCGTGGAATTTAACTATGATCAGATGAGGTGTGGGAGGATTTTACCCTCTTGAAGATACTATTTTTATTTGTTTGTTCTGGGTGATTCGAAATTACTTTTTGAACAATAAAATTTAATAGGAGAATTGCTGAAATGATTGAACCTGGGATGGTGGGGAACATTTGGTAGCTTTTGGGGAAATAGGTTAAGGTTTTCTACTTAGAAGACACTTTAGCCTTCTATAATCTCAACTTTAGCAGAAAAAATTTGTGGTTTTTTAACAGAAAATTTTACCTGCAGCAATGTCAGTACAAATTCCGAGCTACTTGATAATGTTAACCAACCCGAGAAAAAAAGCAAGAAAAAGAAAAACAAGAAAACTCAATTTCAAGGAGATTCTGGCTTAGAGTTGCCTAGCACAACAGATGATCAAAACAACACATCCATGAAAATTGAGGAACAAACTATACATGAAATGCGGATTCCAAAGAGGACCTTATCAAATGGGTTGATTATTGAGGAGTTGGCAAATGGACCACTAGATGGAAAAGTTGCTGCACCAGGAAAGAAGGTATTTTTATGCTGATTGCCGACCATGTTAGAGTTTGCTAACTTGAATTGTTTTGCGTTTATTTCTGATCAGGCTTCTTATTAACAAGTAAATGATTGTTGGATCAGGTAAAAATTTATTACACTGCCATGCTGAGGGAGAATGGCCATGTAATCGACTCAAATGTGGGCAAAAGTGCTTTCAAGTTTCGTTTAGGTACAGATTTGAATGTTGTACAATATCTATGGCTTGCTCGTTCCATTTCCACCATGGCCATTTACTAAGAAATTCCTGCAATTTATAAAAATAGAAACAATTATCAAGGGGTTATTTTAAATATATATTATATTTAGGTTGAATTTAAGATTAGATCAAATCTCATTTTCTTAGTTATTCCTATTTTGATTGTTAGAGAACAAAGGCTCTGTTCATATGCTTCATGCTTTCATTCTTCATTCAGGTGATGAGGGAATTATGGAAGGATGGAATCTTGGTATCGATGGTAACTAAAAGTTTCTTCTTCTTTTTCTTTTTTCCTTTTTGGTCTCAGGAAACTGATAGTTATAACTGCTGTAACTTCTGTATTGACAGTCTCTTGATCTGTGCAGGTATGCATGTCGGTGACAAGAGACGACTCGTAATCCCACCACCCATAGGGTATATTTTATGAATTTCTAAGCATTGATGCTGTTACTATGTACTTATTGGTTCTGAATCGTTTTTGCTGTAAAAATTATCACATTTTCAGTGTAAAATCTTAATTTTGCAATATTAGGTGCAGTTCGGGCAAGCATGGAGCTGTGGAGAATGTGCCGCCAGATTCGTGGCTCGTGTATGATATTGAATTGGTTGGTGTCCGCAGACATTAGAAGCCAAGCTTGGATTACAAGTCTCTCACTATGAACATGGTCCAGATATAATTTGGGGCAGATGAAGTTCTGAGATTGCTCTTTTTACTGTTTTGGTGTACCTGGTGTTATGCCAATTCTAAATTCTGATTTTTCATATTCAAGTTCAGGTCTTATAACTAGCAACCTTGATCTCTATCATTCTCGATTTGTCAAAATATGTGCCATAAGCATACTAATAGATTGCCCGTGGCAAGATATAGAAATTAGGAATCTCCATCGCAAGGAAAACGAACTTGGTTTTCAATTTTGGTTGATCACAACAAGATGATACCATTTGGATTGAATTGGCCAACAAAGTTTCAGTTGGTTTGAGTGGCTAACAAAAGCTAACCATTAATCTGTAGTAATTTCCTATGGAACATCTAACAATAAATCTAAGTTTTTAAGTTCTCAAACAATGTTGGGTGATTCCTTAATCTATGTAAAAAGTAAAACTAACCTATTTTATTAGAGGCACTAAAGACATTTCAACACATTATGTGATATTGCAGGACCGTGAGTCATCTTACAGAAAAGAGTTATAAATATGCCGTATACCTGTATCCCCAGTTCATTTCTTTTACCTGTTCTTTCGTTGAAAACGGCAAAAATGTAGTATTAATGATGGTTCATAGAATCATAAATATCACATAAACGCAACAGAAAGACCCATGTTTCTATTACAGATGTCTCAACACCACCATATTAGCATATGCATAAATATTAGTGCATGAAGATTCAAATTGGATGTAAAAAATGTCATTGAAGTGCCCTCAGGCAACAAAACACAAATTGGTAGTCGTCTCCTAAGATATAGATAGGTAGGGCAAGGGAAGTCAGAAGCTGCTCGACATTAGTCTTTCCTAAGCTCCATAAACTCACGCCGCATACCGCTAGCATTCAATACAAGTACCTCTAACTTGTCTCCCTGCAACAATCCCACAAGAGTAATGAGGCAAGGCCACAACTTGATCATCACATAAAAGCATTGATTTTGCAGGGATGAGCAAAAAGAACTATCATCGACCAATAAGGCGTGAGATATTTATGATACTGAAATATGGCTTGGCCATTTTGTGATTAGACTAAAATTGAAGGCATATTTTGGATTAAGATCCCATTTCTTAATGTAATAGTGATTAGCAATGACCATATACCCACAGAGAAAGGCTGGCGCTAGTGAGACATGGTGATGAACTGTATGATGTAAATCAATGGCAACAGACAAGCCTATTTTCTGATATTGACAATGGGCATATCTACTCGTACAGTATTCATTTATACTGCAAGTAAAACGGGTGGATAATAGGTCAGTGATCTGTTTCTGAGACTTGAGGGGCGGGCATGACCAATTACAAACATCAGCATCTTGCTTGAACCCGTCACATTATAGAAAGTACACAAACTACTTTTATGTACATTCAAAGATAAGCTTGCCATATCACTCAAACCAATTTTACATAGAACACTGAACAGTCCAGATATGATAGATCAGTCCTTGAATATGAAATTTAAATGTTAAAAGCTGGGTTGCAGATCAATACTTGTCAACACATTCCACAGGGAACAAAAATTACCTAAGATAAAAAAGAGTGTTTTTGTTCTCTAAAACTCAAAATCATAAATGAAAATGGACAAAAAAGGCTGCTCCTACAGGAACATAGAAAAAACAACCTTACCGTGTATATATCTCTTTCTGTAGCTGATGCAAAACAAGTTTTCACCAAGTCGATGGCTTCCGACTCAGAAAGTGGTGTAACCGCATCCTGCAGCAGTAACCTTTTGTTAAGCCGTTCCTTGACTTTTTTAAGAAAGGGAATGCACAAATAAATAGACCAAGAAGAACAACATCAAGACAAAACCTTAGCAGGCAATAAAAGAGGACTTGGAGACTTGAGCTGGTTGTCCAAAAATGGTGTGATAAGAGTAGCACCAGAGCCTTGGGCACTGTACCCCACCCGCTCATAAGATCCAACAGCATCATATGTGAAGACACACCCTTTTCCTGTATAGTATTTCAGGATAAAAAGAAACAATAAAGAGAAGATAAATAATTAACACAAAGATTTCAAATAATACTCTCAACTGAAATAACCTATAGTCTTACCCTCACTGTCGAGGCCACCAAGGACATTGAAAGAATAATACGGGAAGAAACGTTTGTAGTACAGGGTATTAGACAGCAGTTGGGCCATGGCTGGGCAACTCATTTGCTTGTTATGTTGGTGCTGGTAAATCTTGAAATCAAACAACAAAATTAAGTTTTAAGCAACAGTTCTGAGAAATGATAATCCAACATCGGAATACCCAGGTATATATACAGAATTACATAAGGGGTGCTGAATAGAGGATATTGATTGTTTTAGAATAAAATAAAAAGGACTAAAGAGAAGGAACATTGACCATACACAACCAAAAAGTTTAAATGTATGTAAATCTCATTACCTAATCAATTAGAGTGTCATTGGGAGTTTTGTTCATAACAATCAATCAATCAATCAATCAATCAATCAATCAATCAACAAGCTGTTAAAATCCCACTAACTAGGGTCGGCTATACGGAGCACATGTCGCCATCGTGCTCGATCAAACCACATACCTCATTCAAATTTAATATTTTAAATCATTTCCGATGATTCTACCCTTTTCACCGGGGCCTCGAAGTCTCTCCTACGCTCATGCCCAAACCATCTTAATCGTGATTCTCTCATAGCAGTATAGCATTATATATTTCCGTGTGGACGCAGCTACAATCACACAAAACAAACATTTGATTCTAAACTTAATTTCCAAATTCTAACTGAGGAAGAACAATCAAAATATGGGAGATCTTCGATGGCCGAGACCAAAAGCAAGGCACAGACCATACAACTTAATGCAGTATAATTACAGAATCCAGACTGCACATTCTGACCATTTCTCATCAGATCAACCCGGATGAGAAAACACTCACTATTAACAAAATGGTAAAGTCAATCAATGGCAAATTCAGATGACAAATTAACTCTTCTGCCCCATAGTCAATAAGTAAGACCACTTCTTTTTTCCAGAAGAGCAAAAATATGAAGATTGAAGAAAACAGAGAGCTTATAAGTTGACAGGACATGCCATTAGCAGTTTCAACTAAATCTCTTTCTACATTCATAAACTAAATGCTTGATTTGCACTAGCTAATGTCAGGCATCAACTTGTTAATGGATCACACATAACAAATATTCAACAAGTATCTTACCAAACAGTACACTGGTCAACAACATAGGGTAGGGTGTCAAATAGGATAAAAACAGACAGGTCAGCACTCCCACACATATACGCATTCCAAGACCCCATACATATGACATGTTTTATGCACACAAAGTGGCAAATAGAGAAAGATTAGGCGAGGAGTAGGAGAATATTCAAATAGCTAATCATAGCCTCAGTATCACATGCGTCAATAACTCACCAAGTGTCTAGCGGCCAAGACCTTTTGCAAAGCTCTAACATCAGCCTGAAAACCTGAAGAGGCCATCACAGATTTTTCCGCTCTACAAAGTCATATAAACAAATACATAGGTCACATTTTGTACCCACACCAGAAGAACTTTAGAGGACATAAGTAAATATAAAAAGAAGTAACAAAGATGCATGACCTTTTATGTTTTAAGGAAATTGCAATTTTGGGCGAGAAACTGTATCACAAGATAATCCTCACGAATGTCATTTAAACTCCGCATAACAATTAAAAGTTAATCAAATAGTGTTTGATTTCTCAAATACTTTATTGAAACTTCAGCTGGAAGTTTAAGACAACACTATTGTCCTTTTAGTGCTTGAACTTGAGCTTCAAAAAAAATGCAAAAACGAAGAAAAGATGGATCTTTTCCTCTCTTATTTACCTAGCATAGAATCTATACCGTTTTAAACACTTCAAAACAAGAAGAATTGGTCCAAGTGATTTTCCATTCAAAACAAGCATTTGTTTATTCACTCAACGCATAAATACAACGTAAATCACTCCTCAACTAGGTTCAGTGACAGATGCACTTACCCACAAATAACGTGGATAAAAGAACAGACATTTAAACCCAGAACGAAAAGGCAAAATACAATCTTAGAACAAACAGCAACCAGAATGAAATAGACACCAAATCAATAAAAAACATACTTACAGCTGAATAATCTTGGAGCTGTCGCGAGTAAGAATACTGTATCCGGTGGACAATCGAGTGTCCGCCGCAATCACACAGTAGTCGGCTCCGGCAATCGCAACACACGTCCTGCACACACAAAACACATGCGTATTAACATTCAAATAGGGATCTATTTCGTTCGAAAAATCGAATTAGAGTTGAGCTAAGCCCACCCTCCATTGTTATCGTAGGGAGACCAGTTTGCTTGCTGTTTGGTCATGGTGTTCGGATCAACAAAACAATGACACACTTTGGGAGAGAGTGGAAATTTCGCTGTGATTAAGAATATATTCAATCTGCTTTTATGCTATCGTTTTTATGAAGAAAGAAATTTGACGGCCCGTTATTTAGAGGATGCTTGGATATAAAAAATTTTGGATTTGTTTGGATTTTTTTTGTTGGTTTGGTTAATTTTGAAAAATGTGATATGGTTAGTTGTTAGTCGGTATATTAAAATAATATTTAAAATAAAATAGTTAAAATTGATTTGAGGTAAAAAGTAAGAGAGAGAAGTTGAAGTGATGATCAGTTAAAATTATGTGAGTTGATGAATAGTGAATTAAGGTTGATGTGATGTGTATAAATGATTGATTGATAATATTTAATTATAGTAAAATATTGATGATAGTGGGGTTGAGTTAAAGTTGAGTTAAAAAAAGTAGTTGAGTTAAAAATAATTGGAATTTTTTGAGATAATTTTGTATCCAAACATCCTCTTAGACTCTATTACCTTTTTGTTTTTCGGGTTATTAATATTGTTTTATAAAATATTATAAAAAAGACAACTCAAATGTCTAAAGTACCCTTGATACTGATAAATGCATTTATTTTTGTTTTTCGCAAAAAAATATACAAATGTACAAATCGACAAGCCAACTAACTAATACGAGGCAATGCTTAAGGAGAACCGCTCAAACCGTCGGCCTAAACCGACAAACCAAAAGAACCCGCACAAAGGAAATACGCACACTGAAACCTTAGGCCGAAAACTACCAAACCAAAGACCAAACAAAAGAGAAATAAAACCGTAGCAGACAAGGAAAAAAAGACAAAGACCACTGAACCAACGGGCCTAGACTTCATCTTCAATCGTTGTCTGCTAATTGCGACTGCACTACACTAATTCCTGCCAATCTTTCATAGCCATATGAACTACCACTCTTTCTGGTATCCAAGTACTTTTAAACTTCCAAAGATTACGAGATTTCCAGAGCCACCACAACATATAAGTAGTTAGTTGAATACGTTGTTAAGCGTCAAATGCAAATCTTCGATCCTCGTCGAAAGATTGACAAATCAATTGTGAAACGCACGTCCAACTTTTGAAATCGGTAGTCGATCTGTTGAAACTGATCGTTGAAGGTTGCATCACACCGTTCGTTTGCGGCATCTTGTCGTCCCGACGACATCGCGAATGGTACTAACTGCTGATATCAATTGATGCAAGAAAGCATACGAATGTAAAGGATAAACGAGATACTCTCATACCAATCAAATATTATTTCATTCAAAAATCAACTTTTCTAATACCAAAATAGGAGAGCTCTTTAAATAAGGCCCACAAACTAAACCATAGCTTATTCTCCAAGCTAATTATTAATTATGCCCTTCTAGGCCCCACTTGGAATTTTAGATTTTTAATTTTTATAATATATATTCCTAAAAGAATTGTTTAGTTTTACAAAATAATTCGTAGATGAAGTTGTTTATTAATTAGTTTTTTTTTCCTTGTTCTCTCATATTAAATTTTTCTTATTACCAATACAATGTTTTATTTATATGTTGTATCTTTGAATAAATCTATCAAAATATCACATGCGACTATAATATGATAAAGAATTGTTGTCAATGAATATTCATGTCAACTACAAAATTAACTACGAAATAGAATTGTAATAATTTCTTTGCTCCAACATATTGAGAAATGTTATTTCTCTTCTACTCATGTCGAGTACAACTTAATATTGAGAAAAACCATGAGATCTTGGCATATATATAATTTAATGTGTTTCATTGGGCAGATGGATATCTTTGTTTTGATAATAATACATTTCTAGTCATCAAAATGAATAACAATACTGAAGTTTACAAAATATTAAAGATATTGTTTAAGATTTTATCTTGAATTACATCAAAAAATTAGAACGTATGTATAGTGTTATTTTTGTCTTATTTGTGCCATTTTTTATCGCCTTTTCAATTACTACAAAAAATTGGCCCCACCTCATTTATGCTAGATCCGCCCCTAGTGATGGCCTGGAGAGCGGAGGGCTCCGCCGGTGAAGGAGCAGGGAAAACTTACTTATGAATATTGTTTCTCGATGATTAAATTATTTGTAAAAGAGCTGGCTTGGAGTACCATTAATATCGTACACCAATTTTCTAAGGGTCATATCGGCACTCCACACTCCTCAAAGCCGCATCGGCACCTGCTTTTCACGGCTAAAGTCTCCATTTCGACACCATCCACATGAAGCTTCCTTCGTATCGAACTCATCACCGACGGAGTTTTTTTTCTCGCCGATGTCACCAACAAATGTGAACGGGGTTACCACCCACGAACTGGATATATGTCTCATCCCCAAAAAGATGCCTTTCCACTAATCACTCTGCATGTAGCTGACTCTCCAACACACGTCACGTGTCCAATGACTCATCAAAATAGTCATGATAACTTTTACCTCTTTATCCAGTATAAATTGTAATAACCAACATAAGCAAGGTTAGACACAAATAAAATAGTCGGAAAACACACGAAAAAAATGTGCAAGCTTAATAAAAGCTAGCATTATTCGTCTCATTTTTGTCTTGTTAATCTTAATTACATTTAGTATTTGTCGTAATCCTGTGATGTTGATTTCGAGTATCAATATGAACCAATAGAAGTTTGATTTCAATAGTTGTCTACGGCAACTGTAACAATTAATCTGCCTACATAATCAAGTTTGGAATGAGGGGGCAAGAGAAAAATGGTTGGAATTCCAAGGATTAGGAGTTAGGAGGATGATCAGGCAAAGTTTGGGCCTAAGGGAGAGTCAACATTGTAGGAATGGTTTCAATCCAGGACATATGATAGGCAAACTTGCAAGCAATCAGATGGGGACTTGCAAAGGTCATAACCTTGGCTGGAGTACAGTTAACTTCAACATTGCAAACAAAGCCATTGTTCCTGATGCTGAAGAAGATTAGGAAGGGACCAGACTGCAACTCCATTGTCTTTGAGGATATTTGTTCTTCGTTATCTCTCTTTTCGTCTTGTGTTTCTACTTTAGTTTGTACTTTGTCGGTTTCTATAACTTCTTTAGCCTAGAGGGATTTGAAGGGGGAATGATATATATGTGCATTCTCCTGGTGGTAGTGGCTCCTAGCTAGTGTAGGAGTTGAACTGGATATAACTATTCGGTTAACCGCTCGTATCTTTGTTGAGTTTCATGGAAGTTGTGTTTGTCGTTGGAAAAAAAAAAAAGATTCGAACTGTGACAAAGATTGCAAATTAGTCATGCACAAATTCCACGTGATCAGAAAACTCTTAAAACAGTACGAGACAAAAGCCAGAAGCTCTCAAAGATAAGAGCCACAAAAAACCAGTAAACAGTATCAAACTTAACCCTTTTTTTTTTAACAAGTAAAACTGAAGCCAACCTAGACGAGCAGACACAAAGAAAACGACCATCCTGTACAGCTCCAAGCCACAAAAGAAAGGCCCATGCACATATCAACTTCTGGAGCATGACAAACTAATGAAATATGGATTGATCTCATCAGACCAAAGCCAACTGCCTATGATAGTAAGATTTAGGCACAACAAAACCGGCCCTTTTCTCCTCGTAAGAATACTCCACCTCTCCACTGCCCATCCTGCCGGGAGTGAAAGGTGTCATGGCCGTCTGCATGGCATTGGATGCTGTTGGGGGAGTGCACGGGACAGGAACCGGCATCGTTTTAGGAGTTCGGTTCTCATCGTAAATCGAGACATTCTTAGTTGGGGTTGTTGTGGCTGATGATGGAGGAGTCAAAGGTTTAAGAGCCATTTGTTGTGGCGTGTTTTCGGGAAAGTCGACATTATTGCAGGAGCTGATGATGTTAGAACATATGGAGGACAATGGAGAGAGAGCTTTTCTCATGGTCGATGGTTCCGTCAGTTTTGAGTTTGATGCATTGCTCGACTGGTGTTTGATGGGTCTGCCGGCTGTCTTGCCTGTATAAAGAATCAAAGATAATATGATTTATCAAAATTCAATTAGTATTATTATTATTATTTTTGGTGTGTGTGTGTGTGTGTGTGTGTGTGTTCTTTTTCTGTTGTGTTGTAATTAAAATATCTCTTATTATGTAATGGTTTATTTAATATAGAGGATAACAGGAAATTCAAATTATCAAATATATATGCAGTATAAACTGATTTTATCACTTTTTAAGTTTATGATAAAGAAAAGAATTCCTGGACATATATAGATATATTTCAACCACCCCCTGCAAAACAATATCAAACCTAAGGGAAATATTCATAATTTTCAGAAACCTCAGTTTTATTTTTTCAAAATTATGCTAAACCTCAGGGGAGGGATTTGTTTTATAGTTACACACAGTGAAAATGTGATCATAATCAGTTAGGCTATCAGAATTATTTTATACCCAACTACACCAGCATAACCATCAATTCCAAACTCTAATCAGGAATTGTGCCAAGTCAGCCTCACACACTCTATCAGACATGATCTTTAAAAACTCAAACAATTGTCAACATTTTATTTACCGGAAGAAGGGGGCGCCGCTAAACCATTGTGGTGATGATGGCCGTGAAGGGGCTGCCTCTTTATACTGTTGTTCTTGTTCTTGGCAAGAGAACGAGAAGGATGTGCTAATTTGTCCGAAAGCGAATTTTGAAGCACTGCCCCTCCTAATGAAAATCGTTTACTAGCAGCTGAACCTCCAGTCGAGGGTCTAAAGCTCTTGCTGCTGCTTTTGGACGGACTCGGTTTTGATCCGTAGATTGCTTCTTGCTCTGCCATTAGCTGGCCCTGAAGTTTTTTCTGATCCTAATGTGATGTAGTTACGAGCGCAGAAAAAATTGTTGATCTTTCAGTTTTGGTAAGCGCAAACAAAGTTATCATTGATGTGTGAATTAAATAGTATATGTTGCATACCCTCTGCTTTTGACGCTCTTGCTCTTTCAAGTGCTTTAGCTCACAGTAGTCGTCGATCATGGATAGTAGACCAACCTAGATAAATGACAACAAAATAAATATATTGACCACAAATAAGTAAATTTGACAAGTCCAAGAAATAGTGCTTACACCATCATACAGGAACTCTGTTGTTCTTTCTTGCTCCCAAGCTTTTACTTTCGATTTGAGCGTGTCCAACATTGCTTTTTTGACACCAATAAATTAAAGAAAATAAGTAAGCATAATTTGACAGGCCAAAATGTGAGATATTCCTAGATATTCGAAAAAGGAAGTATATAATCACCACCAATACGATGTGTATCACAACTATGTAATACCTGAAGGTAACAGAATATTGTTTCATCAAAAGCATTAACATGTGACAATTGATAGGCTAGTAAAATATGCTCATCACCTTTTAGGTTAAAATAGTAATGCAACAAATACTGGTTTGTTTTATCCAGACACCTTCTACTGACTATAGAAGAAGAAAAGTAAGAAGTTGGGAAAGTTCAGAATCTGTTTATCTTTTGTTTTTATAAAAGAACTAAGTACACCTAGTAAATTTCCATTAGACTGAATACACCTCAATTGAAGTTGAAACAGTTTTCTTATTAACGTGCACATTCATTTAAAATGCAGTTAACATGATGATTCCTTTGCGAATTGAAAAGAAAAAAAAAACAAAGTGTACCTGGAATTTTGTTAATAATCACACGAGCTTTCTCAGCACGTTTTAGCATAAGATGTGTACCTCTCCCAGCATTATAACGGTTGTCATCCTGGTTTAGAAATACTCTTATACAAAGAGGGAGGAAGCGAAATAAAATTTAAAATGATGTAAGCAACATTAGGACAAACCCTATTGTACTCCTCCAGCCAGCTTTCCTCTTCACGAGCAGCTAACCATTTTTGAACCTTCTCAAGTATCTCTTTTCTACTGAAAGCTTCTTCTTTAACCTCGGAAATCTGAAACTCCAGTTGATCTAATATATCAGATGGAGTAATTTCCCCTGCAAGATTCTAATAAAATTAAAAACAGAGGTAACTGGAATGGCAAGTCCAGGTGGTGCTCAGACAGACACATTCCTTCTCCAATAAAAAAGAAAGAAAGAAAAAAAAATATAGATAGCTTATTCTAAGGAAAACATAAGATACCTGACTCAATAGATTCCACAGGGCGATCAGTTCCAAATTGTGCATTAACAACCATATGCGCTCCTCGGCATATTTCCTCTAAAACCTCTTGCTTTCTCAAAATAACTTCTTTAATTTTACTCATTTTCATCTCTTGCAGCCTTGCTACCTCAGCCTCAGCCTAAGTATAACAGAATGTACATTACTTGAATTTGCACATGAAATTGTGGGGTTCTCGTAAATAGGAGTTGAGAAAGGTATGGTACATTATACTAGCAAGATGAAATTATTTTAGACATATACATTATCAATTAACTCCATGGATAAACTGTTGGGCTCTTTTATCTCATGTTCGGCAGCAGCAATAGTTCGCATGACGTTTTGAAACTTTTGTTGCTCCTCAACTGCCGTGTCCATAAGATTCCAAAGCTCCACCATAGTCATTGCAAGCTCTTGAAGCTGGAAAAAAAGTAGCGACAGATTAGAGAAAGAAGATTAATTTCATTTATATGATGAAACTTTGACTTATACCCTTTGCATGCGCTGCAACTTAACATCCTTAAGCCTGCTTATTGTAGCAGATAAACCCTTTATTGTATCTGTACTTATGCTTTTCTGGCCGGAAGAGTCAACCAAACTTGGGTGAACACTGCAAACTGTTGATTTGAATTCCATCCCAAGAACCATGCACAGAGCATTTAGGACATTCAATTGGTCAAGCACCTGCTTCATGCGCTCACTCTGCATATAAAGTCAGTAAGTTTGATTTTGGAAGATAATCGAGAGTGAAATAGAGTACAGAAACAGAGAAGTGTTTCAGATATTGAACCTATGACTTCTGAAACTGAAATTCAGATTTTTTTCTGTGTCCACAAATTTAACATTTTCAGACTTAATACAGATGGCTGATACTAAAGAAATGATTTCAATTAAGTCAAATCGCTTTTCGATTCGAACATTCCCATTATGTAGCAATCAGGATAATGTTAAAAGCCAAGTCACAACAAGATGAATGAATGGAGGAACAAAGAGAAACCTTTTCTTTCTGCAGAAAAGTCAACTGACAGCGTAAATCATCCAATCTTTTCATCGACAAATCATGTTCATCAATTACGGTTGCACTAAAGTTGTCATCTATGGATCCTGAAAGCTCCTTGGCAATGCAATTTATTTGTCTCAAAACCTCTGAAAATTGAGTGTTCCTCTCATTTCTTTTCTTTTTCATATCTTCTAGTAGAGGCATGATCGCCTGAAGCTCTTTCTTCAAGCTCCCAGAACTCTGAATTCAGGCAGCAGAATAGCAATAGTATTGAAAACATAGAAACAAATTACAATTATAAGACTAAACAGAACACTTTTTTTTTT